CCTCCCCCTCCCACCCGCTTCCCATATTCTAAGGCTATAATTAGGTTATGACATTCCTATAAAAGCTATGAATTAGTTTCAAAGTAGGGCTGTGTACATTGGATACTTTTTCTTCCATTCTTGAGATATTTTGCTAAGAATAACATTTTCCAATTCCATCCATATAAACATGAAGGAGGTAAAGTCTCCATCCTTCTTTAGGGCTGCATAGTATTTCATGGTGTACATGTACCACAATTTATTGATCCATTCAATATGATATTGGCTGTGGGTTTGCTGTAGATGGCCTCTATCAGTTTAAGAAATGTCCCTTCTATACCAATTTTCTTAAGTGTTCTGATCATAAAGGGATGCTGGATATTATCAAAAGCTTTTTCTGCATCAATTGAGAGAATCATATGGTCTTTGTTTTTTAATTTGTTTATGTGCAGAATTATATTTATAGATTTACATATATTGAACCAGCCTTTAGTCACATTATTTTTGTGTGACTTAGTACACTGAAACCCTTTCCTTTGGGACCTAGAGTAAAAGACAGGTAGTGAGAAAACTAAAGTTCAAATGGATGGAGAAGAAGAGTCTTCCCGAGGTATCAAGAGGATGGACAGTTTGATAGTCCTAAATAATGGGCAGTTTTGAGGCCCCTAAGAGGAAAAAAGCATGAGCAAAGACAATAAGATCTTATCATCTCCATGACATCTATACTTTTAGACATTTTCAAATGAAAATGGAATTGTTAATAAAATAAAGTTAATTAATAGTATAGAAATGTTTGAAGACTTTTATGAAATAACATTTTTGCTCAATAATCTATTTAAAATAATTTAAAATATAAAGTTACCTGAAAATAGGTCCTAAATTCCTTTGCAATCAACTGAAAGAAAAGCTCTTGTTCAGTGGAATCATTTAAGCGATCACAAAACACTCGAGTTGCTTCATGAATAAAAAGCCGAGCAGCCATCTCTCTGGAGTTAATAACAACCTTTTCAGCTTGCAGCAATCCTACGAGAAGCTATTTTTAAAAAATATTTTTTAAATATTAACATTAATATATAAAGTAAAGACTCACATTTTGTGGCTTATGTCACATAACAATAAAAATAATTATTCAGGGGAAGAATTGTCAATTTCTACAAGAAGTAATCTGAAGTTTAAATGATATGGGAAAGTTATATGTCAGGAAAAATAGGCATTTAATGACTCTTGGTGGAGGGACATCAAGGATTCCTCAGCCACATCTAATGGAGGCCTTGTTATGACAGGAGTCTGGACCATAGTGCTGACTTGGAGGCAGGGTGTTGAAGGTGATATAGAGATACCCCTTAATATTATTATGTGTTAGCATTCTAAATTTGGATTTTAAATAATCTTATAACCCATTTCAAAGGTTGTATGTGCTATTTAGAGCTAATTTCTCATAGCCAGAATAGATATTGAATTCAAGAATTATTTTTCTTAACATTAATTTTGAAAATTATTGGGCTAAGGCTGATAACTAAATCAGTACTGTTTGCAAAAATCTGTGAAAATTCAACTACATTTATGAAATGTATAACATGCTTCCACTTTCATAGCCACAATAAAATCTCAGAAACAAAGTAAAACCAAAATTTGTTATTTTTCACTTTTTTCTTTGCTAAAGATCTTGGGACCAGAGTGCCAGCTTTCTTCCACTTAGACTCTTCTCCCTCTCCCTCATATTATAGCTGCCAACACAGCTGTGACAGTTCCCATGTATGTAGGTTGGTCCCATGTGTGCCCCAAGGATAACTGAGCTGAGGTTTTTAGAGCTGCTGTTTTTTCTTTTCAGCATGCTGACCACACCAGGTTTCTATAAAGAATGGGACTTATGCCTTTCCTCTTAAATACCTGCAACAGACCAAGGGGTGCTCAGACTATGTGCAACTTTCCCACTGACCCTCCCTAGTGCTGCTTGCCTGGTTGATCTAGCAGAGTAGAGCATAACCCAAAGCAGAGGGACATTAAGACTACTTGAGCATGGGTCAATGGCACTTGGGCTTCTTCCATGATTCAGCAATTATGAATTGGGCTGTAATAAATTGTGGTATATGTATACCATGGAATATTATGCAGCCTTAAAGAAAGATGGAGACTTTACCTCTTACCTGTTTACATGGATGGAGCTGGAACATATTCTTCTCAGCAAAGTATCTCAAGAATAGAAGAAAAAGTATCCAATGTACTCAGTCTTACTATGCAACCAATTTATAGCTTTCTTATGAAAGCTATAACTCAATTATAGAACAAGAAGAAGAGGAAAGAGGAGAGGGAGGGGGAGAGAGGGGAGGGAGAGGGTGGGAAGAAGGAGGGTGTTTGGTGGGACCACACCTACAGTGCATCTTACAAGGGTACATGTGAAATTTACTAGGTGTAAAATATAAATGTCTAAACACAATAACCAAGAAAATGCTGTGAAGCCTATCTTGACTAGTTAGATGAAAGCATTTTAAATTGTATGTAAAACCAGCACATTGTACCCCATGATTGCATTAATGTACACAGCTATGATTTAATAATAAAAAAAAAGAAAAAAATGAAAGAAATAAACCTGAGGGGGAGAAAAAGACTACTTGAGTAACTACATGGACAACTCAGAACCAGCACACTTCTGGCATAGTCAAGGATTGAACTTGGGGGCCAGAAGACTGGCCCACAGGCTGGGTCTTGTACTCTCAGGACTCAACCTTGTTGTGTGGTGGGGAGATTTAAGAACTAATCCTGAGAAATGAAGGAGCCCAACAGGCAGAACTAAAAGGAGCATGTGGTCTGGGTCCAAGCTGTAGTGAACTTGTGGAGTACCCTTCCTCCCATAGGAATACTATGGAGTCAGTACAGGGCAGGATCCTTGACAGGGAAAATTCCAGCTTGCAGAAACATTTCTGGTAAACTTGGCTGGTTTGGGTTGCTGCTTGTGACCAGACACTTGAAGGAGACCTCAGGTCAGGGGAGGAGGAAGAAAAGAGCAATCCACTCTCACTTGCCAGACTATGAATCCTGGGCTGCCTCTCTTTGTGAGTAGGGCCAATTCAGCAACTCCCTGGTGACTTTCCTCTGTATCCTGGGAGCTGATCCTTGACCCCTGCTGGGACAGCTCTTGGGCTTTTGTGGCGCCTGAATGCAGGCTCACCTGGCCCAGCTACACATAGTCTCCCTTTTCCCACTTGCCTTGGCTGTGGTAAAGCACAAAAAGGAGTGACTGGGGAGCTTTAGGGCCTCACCTAGGACATCCAAGTGCTTCTCCTGATTGGCTAGAGCCAGTTACAAGGCCCCCAGAACACCACTGCATGTGGCTGTTTTCTGCAAGTGCCACTTACTGGCAGGGAGGACAACTGGTACAACCCAGTACAGATTAACTGATTCATTTATATAGGGCTTGGCTGAATCCCACCCACAAGTGTCAACTACTGATTTAAATATTAAACTAGGCATCCAAATATAATTCATACTATTAAGAAAGCTACAAGGCTGGGGGAAGAGAAAGAATTTCAAAGATCTTCATTTCCTCTTGTTTACAAGAGACAGGAAATTTGCTCACATAGTACATCACTATTACAGCTTACAAATAACTAGCAATGAGAAAACCACTACACTAAGGATATCTATAACTGAAGTATCTACCTGAACAGAGATCCCCAGCAAAGTGCCCATAAGCAAAGCCAAAGATCCATACTCAATATATGCAATAGGGATATTCTTAAGAGGGACAGGGGAAAAAGTCCCAAAGAAACAAAAGGTAATCCTACAATAGGAAGCAACAGCAACTCCAGGTATCAGGAAATCAGCACAAAAACTTCAAAAGTATAAAAAATCAGAGTGAAAGAAACCTCTGCAAAAGGATTAAACCATCTCTCTGGCAATAGATCTCAACCAAAAAGAAAATACTGAAATGGCACATAAAAATTTCAAATACAGATTGTAAGGAAGGTAAATGAGATCCAAGATAAAATGGAAAACCAACTCAAAGAAACCAGAAAAATAATTAGATCATGAATAAAAAAATTACTAAAGATCTAGATATATTGAAATAGAACAAAATAGAACATCTGGAAATGATAAACTCATTTAGGAGAATACAAAACATAGTGGAAAATTTTATGAATAGACTAAACCAAACAGAATAGTCTCAGAGTTTGACAACAATTAATTTTTTTTTTTGAGATGAAGTCTCATTCTGTTGCCCCAGGCTAGAGTGCTGTGCTGTAAACCTAGCTTACAGTAACCTCAAACTCCTGAGTTTAAGTGATCCTCCTGCCACATCTTCCCGAGTAGCTGGGACTACAGGCACCCACCACAATGCTTGGCTATTTTTTCTATTTTTAGTTGAGACAGGGTCTCCTTCTTGCTCAGGCTGGTCTCAAACTCCTGACCTCAAGCAATCTACCTGCCTCCGCTTCTCAGAGTGCTAGGATACAGGCATGCTCCACTGCACCCAGCCTGAAGACAATTATTTTGAATTAACCTACTCAAAAACAAAAAAGAAAGGGCTGAGCATTGTGGTTCATGCCTGAAATCCTTGCACTCTGGGAGGCAAAGGCAAAAGGATCACTTGAACTCAGGAGTTCAAGACCAGCCTGAGCAAAAGCAAGACCCTGTCTCTAAAAAAAAATAGAAAATTTAGCCTGGCATAGTGATGCAGGCTTGTAGTCACAGGTAGTTGGGAATCTGAGGCTGAAGGATCACTTGTGCCAGGAAAACATCAAGTATAATAACTTACAAAGAAAAACCCAATAGACTTTTCAACAAAAACCTTACAAGTCAGAAAGAAATAGGTACTAACTTTACTCTCCTTAAGGAGAAAAATTTTCTTTTAGCCAAGAATTTTGTACATTGCCAAATATAAATAAAATCTCTTTCCAAGACAAGCAAACACTAAGAGAATTTGTCAACACTAGACCTGGCCTAAAAGAAATGATTAAAAATGTTCCATACATGGAAATGATTAACCAATATTCACTAGTATAAAAGCACTAAAAAGTTAAAACTCATAGCTTTTATAAAACATTAGTACAAGGGAGAGAACAAAGCAACTATGTAATAATCAGAATGATGTCTGGTAGAGTATTCAATATATCATCACTAACATTGAATGTGAACAGTCAGTCATAATGCCCCCTTAAAAGATACAGATCAGCTGAATGGGTAAAAAAATAAACCCCAAATATATGCTATTTTCAAGAAACCCATTTGACTTGTAAAGATTCTCATAGACTCAAGATAAACGAGTGGAAAAAATATTACATGCAAATGGCAACCAAAAGTGAGCAAGAGTAGCTATTATCATATCAGAAGAAATAGACTTTAAATCTACAATGGTAAAAAGATGAAGATGGTCATCTTCCATTTACATTAATGGTCATCCACCATTTATATTAATATTAAAATTAATATTATATTTATTTTTATTAATATAAAATAGTTTACTATTTGAAATTGCACATGAACTATGAGGACACCCTGCATAATGACAAAGGCATCAATTCAACAAGAAAATATAATAATTCTAAATATACATGCACCTAACACAGAAGCTCTCAGATTCATAAAATAAATTCTACAGAGCCAAGGAAAGAAACAGCAATATCATAATAGCTGTGAACTTTACACTCCATTGACAGAAATAGACAGATCATCGAGGTAAAAGATAAACAAAGAAATAATGAACTTAAATGGGACTCTAGAACAAATGGATTATCAGATATTAACAGAAAATTCTATGCAAAAGCTGCAGAATGCACATTCTTTTCTTCAGCACAAGGAACATTTGTCAAGATGGATCATATGTTAGGCCACAAAACAAGTCTCATTAAATTTAGAACAATCAAAATTATACAAAGTATCTTCTCAGATTATAGTAGAATAAAACTGGAAATTAATTCCATGAGAAATTCTCAAAATTACACATGGAATTACGCATGGAAATTAAAAATCCTGCTGCTGGACAATTCTTAGTAATTCACAAAATCAAGACGGAAATAAAAAAAAATTTCTGAA